CCTGGGCACACACGCCAGCTACAGTCCTCTCCCAGGCTGACCAGGCCCTTGACATCCCCAGAGGTGCTCGTGTGCGAAGGGTGCCGGCCGCCTCCCACCACCCTGATTCTGGACCGGGTCGCCCTGACTGCACAGCTCCTGCCCACGTCTGGCAGTCAGGGTCGCCCTGACTGCACAGCTCCTGCCCACTCTGGCCAAGGCCAAGCGAGCCGGTGCCCGGACAGCAGGCAGGGTGAGCCGGGCCGCCATGCCCGTCTGGCCACGCAGGATCCGCCCGGGGCCTGGCTCCCAGACCTGAGGCTCCTGAGGGGACCGTGAGGCTGTGCGAGCGTGCGTGCGTGCGTGCGTGTCCACGCAAGGGAGTGAGCGTGTGTGTCCACGCAGGGGTGTGCGAGTGTGTGTGTGTGTCCACGCAGGGGTGTGCGTGCGTGTCCACGCAGGTGTGCATTGCATGGGTGCGTGTCCACGCAGGGGTGTGAGAGAGTGCATGTGTGTCCACGCAGGGGTGTGCACTGGGTGCGTGTCCACGCAGGGGTGTGCACTGGGTGCGTGTCCACACAGGTGTGTGTGCATGTCCACACAGGTGTGCATTGCGTGTGCGCGCGTGCGCATCACGCATGCCTGGAAAGGCCGCCATGAGAGCTCTGTGCAAGTCCTGCGCTCCTCAGCAGGTTGGGAAGCCCCAGGGCCGGGGGGCCACTCTGGGGGCGCTCTGCAGCCACTCGGGCCCACTCTGGTGTGGGTGGGCGGGGCAGAGAGCCGCCGCCTTCTTCCCCAGCGTGACAGTGGTGGGCACACGAAGGCGGGGAGTCGGGGCTGGGGCCCGGGGAGCCCAGCGGGAGGGTCAGCGTGGCCTCCTGGCCGGCGCCAGCGCCTGGACAACCCCACAGTGGCAAGTCACCCGGACAGCGGCCCTCACTGGCGCTGAGGTGATGAGCCCGGAGGCCGGAGCTGCCCGGAGGGGTCGGGGTCAGGCCTCGGCCGGGGCCTGGCTCGCGCGG